CTTCCCCAGACTTGGGTCTAGATCTCGGCTGCCACAAACCTGTCAATCCCACCAGAGCTAAGACGTTCGCCGCGCGTGGATCGGATGAGACAATATTCGATATCTGAGCTGCTCAGCCTGCAATTGCAGGCTGACTCGCGTGGTCCGCCCGTGTTTCCCAGGCCTCCAAAAAAAGACCACGAGCCTGGGGCCGCGAATTCTCGGCCCGCCCCTCGGCGATCTGATGTATCGTCCTTGGTGCCTGGACCCGGTTGGCGGCGGGTGGGGTGATCAACAAGCTGCCCTGTCTTGGCCGTCCGGCAGACTACCACCACAGTACAATGTGGATTAAGTGCTGAATGAGATCCAATGTGGACTACGCTGCAAGTCATCCAAGGTGGTACAGTAACCAAACTCTTAGACCTGCAGGACTGACGGTCTCAGGGCCACAATGACGCCCACCTGGCAGAACGAGGCTGCCATCACCTGCTGTGCTTCCGGCCACTGTTGTTCGAAGCGTGGCACCAATCGGCCATTAGCATCTGTCAGCACGGCTTGCGGTTTGCCGGCGAGTAATGGATTCGCTGGACCAGGCCGCCACCGATGGTGGCCGATGATGGCCGCTCCATCTCGAAGGTGGTATTGGTGCGGCTCGGGGGGTCTCTGAACAGGACGCAGATCGCCATGGTCGTGGGGTGCTAGTATATTAGACTGATTACTCGGCCTTGCTGGAGGGGGCTCGAATGGCCGGGGACGATGCCGCCCTCTGAACAACAGTCTGCCTAGAGGTGCAGATAGATGCGGTGCATTGGGAGACATTGACACATGAGCTGATCTCGTAAGGCATCCAGACCATCGTCCTGCTGGCTTTCTGACCGGGCGAGTGCTGCAGACTGCAGGTCGGCGGGGGTGGCAGGGCGGATGTTGCCTGGGAGCGGCATGACCAAAGCGGCTCATGGGTGGGAAAGTGCCGAGTATTTCCGCCTTTCGTGGTAGGTATGGTCGACTGAAGGGTGGATGACTGAACCGTTTGGACCAGACTGCTCATCGAGGCAGGAGCTATTGGCGTTCCTGCCAACCGGATCGCATGGCTTCAACGGCGGGCATCCAGAGTCTGGGCGAAGCTGACGTCTCCGTGGTTGTCTTCGACTGCACTACTGCAAGCATGCCGTGATTACGGCTTACAAGAGGCTGGAGATCATCCTCGTTCTCACCCTCATCGTCATCGGGGGACGTGGGACTCTTTGTCTCTTTGCTGTTGAGCCCGGGGCAAGTCGGACACATACCATGTGGAGTCGTACACCATTGCTGCCCAATAAACGGCACAAATAGTACATACAACACACGTGAGTATCGTGCCATGGGGAAGTGGGCCTGGAATCAGCAGGCAGTGTCTGGGCAATCCAGTTCCCCCTACCCATACTCGACGGCTTTGGCTTCAATATCCCCGAGCAGTGAGGCGATTGGCGTCCGATGCCGGGCGACCACCCCACGAGGAGTAATATCCAGATCAAGGCCTACTGCGGCAAGGTGTCTCTCGATTGGCATCTGAGCCCCTTGTTGATTCACTTTAGCGATGGCACACATTGTTTAGTGGCACGCAGATTCGGCTTGTCCTCGGCGTCAAACCATCTCTCCTCGCAATCGTCATCAGGTTGCTCAGAAGCGAACACCACGTGCTCTGTGAGACAGACATATGACAACAACGTTGACCTCATGCGTGGATAACCAAAAGGCATCAAGTCAATTCCATCAGGCTGATAACGCCGTGCAGTAGCTTGAGTTACTCGTACATCGGTCCTGATCCATCTGACTGCTTGCAGAAGTGGCCTCCGAGCCACTCCTTTCGTCATAGCATGCCTCTTCTTCCAGCACTGCTCATTATTCGGGGTATCATAGTACTAATCCAATATCCAATATCCTGTGCTGCCCAAAACAAAGGTGCGGGCACGTCGAGGTACCCAGTCAGGGACATCAAGCTGCCCTCCGGTACAATGCGTCACTGGCAAACGTGATGCCTGCCCATACTGGACCGACCACGCAGGAGTGGTGGAAAGCCGATCCAAATTTACATCCTGTTCTTCAGGTCGAGATGAAGCCGTCAGAGTCCTGCCTCTGCTCTGCAAGTGTCTGCGGGAAGGCCGCAATACCAGCAAGTATGCCACCAACCATGAAGATCAGAGAGATGATGACCCAGAGGACGCCCCAGCACTGAGAAGACCCTCCATAGCGGTCGGCAAATTGTGATGCATCGGAACTATTGACCTTTCGACGGATCAGGTCGTCGTTTATATCCCAAGCGCTATACATCGACGACATGACACCTATGAAGAGCTGTGTGGGTAGACAAGTCAGCAACTGACGCCACCCAGGGCCAACTAGATTGCTTGATATTTGGCAGACCAGCCGGGAGAAGGATACTTACAATAACATATCTCAGGGCCTCGGCGTCGGCAATAAACCAGCAGCCGACCAACAGGCCAATGGCCGCCAGGACAGTGCCGAGTGTGAGCCAGTCCCTCCGTCCCCACCAGATAATGAGGAGAAACGCAGCCCCGACCACGAAGCTGGCAACCTTGGAAGCAACAATGTTGAACCCGCAGAAGGTGAGCAGCGCCCCGATCAGCGAGCTGCCGAGGTATCCCGCAGGAAGCGTGATGGCTTGCATGCCGCCTCGAAAAGTAGTCTTGCCTCCCTCTTTTGGGTCAAGGCTGATGGCCTCGACCTTACCACCCGTGAGCTTAGCCGCGAAAGCATGCCCGAATTCGTGGAAGGCGATGACGAGCATCTTGAAGGGCCAGAGCACGTAGGGGATGTTCCACAGGATGGCAATGCCCACGATGTAGGCGGCGATGACGCCCAGCGTGATCTTTTGCGCGTCCGCCGTGACCGACAGCGAGGCGCGGCGGAGGAGGAAGCCATGGGCTGCCGTGCGAAGGGCGTCGGGCCCGGCCTCGGACAGGGCTCGCTTCGCGGCGAGGAGCATCGCTGCGTTGGGGGTTCGCGGGATGTCGAGGCTCCGCAGAGCGTTGGGGCTAATTACTGTCGGTGCCATGGTGGCTTCGGCCTGTCTGTTGGCAGATGCCCTTCAAACTTTAATCCTAACCCTCCCGTTGCTTTTCCCGATAACTATCCGCTTCTGTTGGTTTCCCGGTACTACTGTTATCCACGTCTACGGTGTTGGTGGTCACGGGTGGGACCGCCTCTTTGTTATAGAGGTCGCAGAGGATTCGCTGGTGTCGTTATTCGTTGGAAGCGAGTGTGGAGACTGTAGGCACAGGTCGATATATCGCGGGCGAGACTGGATGGAAGATGGGTATCGTGAAGTTCGTAGACCGGAACCAGAGGCACAGAATAACGAGAGACCATTCACAATAATAAGCAGAGGCGGTGGCAGTGGCAGTGGTTTTGCTTTGCAAGCTTGACGCGCGTTGTTGAAAGACTTGGCCGTTGCCGTTGAGGATTGGCCCAGTAACCGTCCGGATTCTTGGGGGAGTGGCACCGGGCTCCACTTGAAACGTCAGACCACCTGGGCACCCAAGTTCGGCCAGCCCAGCCATTCCTGCCCTCTCCTGCGGGCCCCAGCAGAAGCCCCAAGGAGCAGCCGCGTAGCCGTGCTGTCCCCCCACCAAACTGGCGCGGCCCTGTGGCTGCGTGCAGGGTCTTTCGTTGACATGTCTCCAGGGGGCTGTGGCCCTCCCCTGCACTATTTTTGGCAACCTTTACAGCCCAAGCCCGACCTCAGCCTTCAAGCCAAATGTGCCGGAGGTCCGATCATCCATGCAATTTTCATCGTTTCTCCCCTTCTTCCTTGGCGTAAATGATATGGTCGATGCATAACAAGGAATGATGATCCAAAGACAAAGATCGTTTCCACAGCTGCAGGTCGCCGGCAATCACACAAAGTTCGATCAGGGGCCTGTGCTTTTTCATGGACGTATCGCAACGTTGGAATCTTCCATCACGGCAGTTTTGCGCCACGGACGCTTGCCTGGTGACAGCGGGATGTGGGTTGGAATCTGGGGAAATGAAATGGTGGGCCCACGACCTGACTGCCTGACCACACCCCAGCTGCGCCGCAGTTGGCGCAATCGTGACACCACAACAAGTTGGATACCACATGTGCACATCTGACTTGAAAGCTCGATCAAGTCGTCCTCCTGACAAGCCTGATGCACGTACGTATCTCCTCAGTCAACGAGCGGAAGGGGACAAAGGGCAAGGCCTATAACATTTGAAGCCTATTATTGCCCCAAAACGTTAACCAAAGGAGGATATTCCAACACCGAGTGCGAAGCCATGGTGCTTACATATCGTAACAACATTAACGTCTCAGACCAAAAGTTGTATATCCTTGCCTTTTCATACAAACATATAGAATTTAGTTCCTTTGCTTATTCTCAGAGAAAGTCCACCACCATCTTAGAAATTAAGCTTAACACATCGGCCCACAGCCAACAACTGTAATGCGCAGGGAGACGGAAGCAACCACGAAAAGCGCCTTGGGGGGGGGGGAGACTCGCCGACTGCCATGCGTCAGCTACTCTCGCAGGCAAGAACATATAGTGAAGAGGAAAGCCATTTGAACAAGCGCCTGTGAGGAAGGTGAGAAGGCCGGTGCCCGAGCCTGCCTGTGACGGCCAGCTGCATCCTACCCAGGCGGCTGAGTCTTCAAGGGGGGCCTGCTGAGGGCGGCCCAGCAGAGCGGTCTAGAGAATCGGAGCCATCAACAATGCTCATAATCCGGCCAAGTCGTGACGAAAACTCGGGTACAAACTGGGCTTAAATTTGTGGCAGCTAGGAAAAGCTCTTGCCCGGCCTGGTTCGAAATGGTTGTCCAGCACAATCTGTCCACCCTTGGTATTCGACACGGTGATGGCCAGCGGCAGAATACTACCGACTGTAAGGCGGCAGTAGAAAAGTGAGGCACTTCTAGGGGCGGGCTGGGCTTAGCCTTCCCTTAGTGTCTCTGCGAGAGACTAAGTCCAACTACTTGTTCAGCAAAAGTATGATCTACGACGACCCGGCTGGTCTAATGGTAAGATTCTGTGGGCGAGTGCGGAAAACGCAGCAGAGATCTAGGTTCAAATCCTAGGCTGGGTCATCTATTATTGTTCTTTTTACGATAGCTCCAAACACCCTGAGCCGGAGTTTCTTCGTTGCTCAACACAAGAGCCACAAGCAGGGATTTGAAGTGGGAAAGCCACTCGCCGAGATCTCACCGCTCGTGAATAACTAGAGCTGAGCTAGCTTTCTGGAGACAGAAAAAAGGAGTTCAAGTTGTTCTTGGACACTTGATACTAGAGCTAATATGTCTGACTATGTACACATTAGAGTTTTCCTCCCTTACTTTTCTGGTCTTTCCACCGCCACGCACACTTAACCACATATGAAGAGAGAGGATAGCCCTATGACAGGTAGTGAAGGGGTGTGGGTAGGATGGCTAGGATGGTCATAGCCGAGGAGACCTATACTCTATCAAAGCTGCCACGATCGCGTTACCCAACGCTACGATGTATGGCTTCTAATTGCCCATATGTACATACACATTGAATTCCCATCTTCCCTTCCACAATCCCACTGCTCAACTCGCAGAACTACACAGAAGGAAAAGGTATGCAAGAAAATGAGGTACAAATGTGAAATACAGTATGAAAATACAGTGTCTCCTGTCCTCATAGGATACTCATTGTCGTTCCGGCTTAGTAGGGGAACTTGAAGAATACAAATAGTCCAAATGTGAATTACACACACGGAATTATCCTTCAGACCAGCCAGAAACTCTGGTCTTTTTTGAAAGCATCTCGATACAACCCCCCAAATCGATTCTCGATCATCCGGCCCACACCAACCCGCTCGAAACACGGCTCGTCAGCAAAGCAAGTCTCCACTTCGGCCACAAACAGTACCGCATATATATCTACCCTTTTGTCTTCCAGACCACTTCCCACCGGAACCTTCCATGCGGCGCTTAGTCGGAACGCATATATAGGCCTCTGCCTCTCGTCACTTGCAGCGACACAAGGGCCCATGTCGGTATTTTCCACGCACAGTTCAACATCATCAAAGGATGCCCACCCATATGCTTTGCTCTTACCGCTTAGCGCGGTTACTTGGTGCCATGCTTCACTCACACTTAGACTGCCCTTGGCACCGCCCGCCATCAGACTTGCTTCATTCATGTCACCACCAACCAGGTGATTTGCAGTGAGCTTTGCGACGCGGTGTAGATCCTGCTGTCCACCAGGCCATACCTTTTCGAGACGAAAGTCTCTTCTCAGATGGCCGTTGATGTGTAGTGCTAGGAAGCGGTTCTCGATGCCAAAATCACTGCCCAGTTCAGTCGGGGTAATTGGTCGCACCTCGTCCGGGTCCAGGACGGGTGGAATGCTGGGCAGCTCGGCGACGACATGATATACTTCTTGCAAGGTGAACTGGGCCGTAGCAAACCTACGCCACTGCGTATGCCACCGCGCCGCTACAGCTTCAACCTGGCTGCCGACAGTGCCCTCACCCTCCGATATTCGACCCAGTGAAGCCCACGTCCAAGACGGAAACCCAGGAACCCTTACGAGGGGACAACTGCGGTCTGTAATTTCCCACTGCAGGCCTCGTGCCAAATCTTCTGACCACAGGCCACATAAGTACTGTGCAGGCCCTGGCTTATAGTACCGTTGCTGCGAGGCTTCATACGCAGCATCAAGCGCAGCCCCAAACTCGGCCGCGACACCCGTCAGGGCAACAAGCCGGTCGTTCCCTAATTTGGTCAGGTTCAAGCCCGAGTAAGCTTCCACTACTCGGCGCCAGCTTTCGCTGATGTCACTCTGTCCTGCTAAGCTGAGGTCGAGTGCGCTCTTATAGGACTTATCGGGCAGGCTTGGACGCTGCTTGCGAACCCCATCGTTAAGAAGGGCGGACTGGGGCAGGTCTTCGGAGCAGACTAGAAAAACGCCCATGCTCGGCGAGAAGGCGGCGATGCGGGTGCTTAGCAGCCACTCCTGAAATACCCAGCCGCGGGAGAGGACCTCACTATTCGTAATAGTTTGGGTGTAGAGGGTATCCAGGCGTGGGTTGGATACAGGCTGGATTGCTATTGAAAGTCCGCTTGTGTGCTGTCCGGTGGTATCGTTGTATGGAAGATGTACTATGGAGGGTAGTATCTCTGGATCGATGGTTTTGTATAGACCTTCGCCTGAGCTTCCCACGATTGTAAGCCACGAGTTTTGGTAGTAGCTTGCCATCTTCGCGGCTTCACACTTCCAGTCCTCAGCATCATCTTGAATAATGCATAACGAGTCGATCCAGAGATATTTAATCCCCAGCTCTATAGTCAGTTGCGCTGCTTCCTGGAATACCTTTGTCACGTCTCCAGGCGCAATAGGCGGGATCTCCGAGTCGTCGAAGCCGCCAACACGGACTTCATAGTTACTTTTGAGTGTCCTTACTCTCTCTGTATCTGCGACCCAGCGATGGCTCAGAATTACATACTTGCCCACCTTACCCGCCATCTCACGCAGCCAGAACCGACACTGGCCGTCGTCACCCGGTACGATCTCAAGACATCGGCTTGGCAATGCTATATAGTCTAGGCGGCCATGCTCCAGCTCTAGCGGCGGTAGTTCGACCGACGAGTAAGGTGCTTGGCTGCCAGGCGAGTTCCCTCTATACCAATCACAGCGGATAACCTCACCGCCACCCGTGGTCGTGATGTATTCGACATTGCGGTTGCGGCGCTGGGCAAGAGGTTTCCAGCATTCATGTGTATCGTGGCAGTGTTGGCGCCAGGTTTGGATAGCGGCAGAGAGCTCAGTGAGTGACTGCGAGGTGTTTCGGAGGAGGGTGCCTCTGGGGAATAGGGAAGGTAACTCGGAGCCAGTGCTCAAGATGTCCAGGCCGGGGGCGAGAATAAACTCGGCTTCTCTGTTGCCGTCTGCGTGTTTCGACCCCATTACGGCGATGATAATTCTCGTGATGTCCTCGGACTGGTCTTCATCAACATCTTGGCCATCTCGGGGTTCCTCCGGAACAAAAAAGCTGATCCATCCGTCGCGCTCGCGTTGCATCCTTTCAGCCTTGTCGGCGAAAAATCGCGCAACACTCTTCGATTTCGATAATTTTAACAGTGCTTTATCAGTAAACGTGCTATTGCGACCTTGTTCATCGTGGACTAGCTGTAGGGTATTGACTAGCAAGCAGCAGAATGTGCACGCTGTAGCTGCAGCAGATGCCACCACATCAGCAACCTGCCATGGGCGCCACGGGTTGTAACGCGTAGAGGAGAGGAGGCACTGAGCGTCCAAGTTGCCGCAACGGTCGCAAAGAAAGGTATCGTTCTGAACTTGTTCCATGGTCTCAAGAGTCCTGCTAAACCAAGAAGAGACTCGTTATGCATTGAGAAAGAAGGGGGGGGGGAAGTGAGGATGCATCCTCAAGATGTAGCATTGGCATCTCAGCCCGCTTACCACAGAGCGCTTGGCCGCGTGAACAATGCATGCTGTTTCCATAATGTTTCAGCGGCCGTGAGGCACAACAGGGATGTTGGGGTGACATCGTGGAGAGGAATAGTGGATATCGCAACCCGCGCGGTTATATCCGGTGTATCATTGGGTGGCTGAATAGTTAGAACCGACATCTCTAGGCACTTGCGTCGTGAGCAGTTTGGAGTTTGATTTCAGCGCCTTATTGCATGCGCGCATGAATCGATTGTCGTTCGAAATTGATGAAATTCTCTTGTGATTTGTTTTTTTTGCTCAGCTTGGATAACCCAATCATTACATCCGAATGCGGAACGTCTGACCGAATTATAGACTTAAGTGCGGAGACAAGCAGATCAAGTCATGAACAGCTTTCCCAAGCATCCGTGAGGCTGGCCAAGATCTTGCTGGCGTGCTCAACTAACCCAATTCAATTCCATGTGGCCCGTCTATCAAGAAAAGTAAACGCCGTACTACATGAACAGAAGCGCGATACCCCCGATTGCCACAGTCTGACAGAATACTTGTACTATCCTACACCTTTTCAGTCTGCTCTGATTCAACTGTACCCTCAAATTCAAATCACCTGCTCCGTCTTCTTTCCTGGAAGATCGGTGACATTTCCCATTTCGGCCTTGCACAGGGACCCGAGCCGTCTAGGCCAATTTATAAATTTCTCACAAAAAAAGAAAGATTGAATCTTAGAGGGCCAGGCACAGCTTGCTGGCCCAACTTTTACACCAGGGATTAATACTTGACATTGAGATGGAATGCAGCTTTTCCCTCGGAATGCGGTGTTCAAACTGTGTTGTGCCTTTGTCGGTTTGCTCAATACCCTCCCAGTAAAAGGGACCGCATTTCCAGGGAAGCCCTTAGCGTGCCGAGCCCCTGGAACCGCGACGTTGCTACCCCTGAAAATAGGGTGACATCCCCACTTTGGACCCCTGGCAGATTCGACGGCGCATTGGGCATTCTCAACAAGCCGACTGAGCCTCATGCCCACCACCTTCACCAAAGTGCGGAGCTCTGAAAGCGGTGCAATACTGCATGCTTCGACTCACAATGGCCCGAACTACTCGCGCAGCTGCAAGCACAACACAGAGGAGGGAGCTGCCCCGGCGCGCTGCCCGGGTGAAAACTGAGCAGTCCCAATCGCCGCAGGTCAAGACGGAGCCGGACTCACCGCCCAGAGCAACACCCAGGAAGCGAGCGGCCCCAAAAGCCGACGGCAAGAGTGAGACGCCGAAGAGGCTGAAGACAGAAGATGAGAAATCAACACCCAAGTCAGGCCCAAGCAAGAAGAGCAAGCCGTCAGACCTGCGGGACAAGAAGCTGAAAGCCTATGCCCAGTACGCCAATAGCTCGCCATTCCCGGACTTTGCCCACCCCACGCCAGAGGAATGCAAGCTGGCCCACAGGATCCTTGCATCCCTCCACGGAGAGCGCAATAGACCAGAAAAGCTCGTGGCCCCGAGTTCTCGGGCCGGGTGCGGCGACTCGCCCTCGGTACTGGACGCCCTGGTGCGAACGATCCTGTCGCAGAACACGTCCGACACCAACAGCACACGCGCCAAGCAGAGCATGGACAAGGCGTACGGGCGCAGCGACAAGTGGGAGGCCATCGCGGAG